TCCATTCCTCATTAGGCTCTCTCCTCTCTATCAAGAACATCAAAAATCTCTTTATGGCACCCTTTTCCCATCAATGCAGGTGCTTATGGTGCCCTCCATCCATCATTGCAGGTGCTTACGGCACCTTCCATCCATCACAGCGGTTGCTTCATGGCTGCTTTTTCCCATAGCTGCAGGCAATTGTGGCACCTCCATCCATAGTTGCAGGCAATTATGGCGCCTCCATCCATAGCTGCAGGCACCTTATGGTGTCCTTTTTTCCATCACTTCTGGTGCATATGGCGCCCTCCATCCATAGCTGCAGGCGCCTTATGGTGTCCTTTTCCCATCACTGCTGGTGCATATAGTGCCCTCCATCATCACTGCAGAAGCTTTATGTTGCCCTCTGTCCATAGCGGCAGCCGCTTTATGACGCCTTTTTCCCATCGCTGCAGGCACTTATAGCACCCTCCATCAATCGTGTCGGGCACTTTATGGCATCCTCTACCCAATCGCGGTGGGTGCATTATGGTGCCCTCTACCCATCTCAGCAGGCGCATCGCCAATAACCGATCGTGGCAGGTGCTTTATGGTGCCCTTGTCCCATCTTGGCAGATGTATAGTGCTTTTAACCCATCCTGGCAGGTGCATTACAGCCCCCTCAGATTGCACCAGGTGCTTTGCGCCCTCACCGATCTATGCAGTCGGATCATGAAAAGTGCTTTACATCGAACACCTTACCAAATCATGACAGGCACATCTCAATTGAAACATCGCGCTTAACTATCGGGGCTTGCATGTCTCGTCATTTGGTTGTTATGGTCTTTTATGTCGCCCTCCATCCATCGTGGCGGGCTCTTTATGAAGCCTTCAGTGGCTTACTCGTCTAGTCTTTGCTCATTGCGTCCCCGTCTCACGTCCTAGCTCCCAATTATCATTCATCTCATCCACCTGCCAGTTTCCCTGGGGCTCAGTTAAAGCTATCATGGCCAGATCATTAGTTGTTCTTTTCTGTTAGTCTGTTCTGTTGAGTTTGTTCAGTTAACTCCACGGTTCTTGTTCTGGATCCTGGCAGCCAGAGGAAAAAGGGTTTTTGTGTCTGTCTTGTCTCCTGCTCATCCACTGTTCCTCCCTTGCTGAACCCTCTGAGTTTTTGGCTGTTTACGTGGGGAGGATCAGTTTTTATCCCAACAAGCCTGTCTCCAAGGTGGACACCATTTTAAAGGTCCTGCTCAAGTTCTGGTTCCACGTTCTGTCTCGGCTACGCTCTTCCACTGGGCCTGCCCGTCTGCACCTGATCCTGTCTGCTCCTGTGCCTGTCCACCTGGTCACACTGCTGGACTCTGTTTGGAACCTGAACCTGCCTGGGTGCTCTAGGATTCTTGGAAGCCTGGATCCTGCCGGTTCCGTATGTTCCTGCCTGTTTCTGCATCCCTGTCCAGGATCAGCTTCCTGCAAATCCTCTGAAGCTGCAGCACCAGGGACACTCTCAGTGACGCATGCCTTCAGTCCAGGGCTGGATTGAACCCCTTTCCAGGGAGATGGACCGGACAGTTGAACCAGGTAAGTGACTCAATGAGATCAGCATATTCTGTCAGATGATCGTGGTTACATACCTGTGTTTCTCCCAACAGAGTTTCTGAGATTGGGCGCTGCCCCGCCCCCCTCTTGCAGCACCCAAGAGTCACAGATCCTAGCAGCTCCACTTTAGTTTCAGTTTGTTTATGTTTTTAAATTAATAAGCATTTTGGACTTTCCTACAGACTGTCTCACCTTGAATACTAGGTCCATCTGTCCCGTATTATGACAGGCGGGCACAGAGTGCTCAGCTCATCACGTCAGTGCATTATGACAAGCCTATTGCACTGCCTATCACTGCAGTTATTACCACAGTCATCATTACATCGTCATTTCCAAGCGTTAGTTGCTCTTTTTGCTAAGTCACCTCAATTTTGCCATGCACATCCTCCCCAGGGTTGCTATTTCATTTCCAAGCTGCTTGATCTAGCTAATTCCATTACCTTCCTCCTTAACCAGGTTACACTGTATGAGGGTTGCCTTTCTGACCTTTTCTGTTTGTTTAGACTGCCCCTTGATTGGATCGGCAAATCGTTTTCTACGATGGCATCATTCTGTCTGCAGCCATGCTACAGAATTTATGCTTTTATTGAGTTTTTATGGATGTTGCTCCATCCATAGCTTTTGGGGGTGTCTTTCAAAATAGTTGGTTCGCAGATTCATGGCCTACTCCCCTCATCAATTCAAAATGTCTGCTCTAGGAGATTTACCCAATAGCCGTAGCTTACCGTCTGTTTGGTCAGCCATTCTGAACACAGTAGGAGCAGCCACAACAGCAGCTGTTTGTGGCATCTCCGTGACTTTTCTCAGCAGCTGGGCTGATGGTTATCATCGACCCACGACTCATATAACTGCCCTGAGCATTCATCTATCCTAGTTGCTAAACGCTCTCTCCGCCTTTGGTAGGCTAACTCCAAATACTGGTGTAGGTTTTGAATCTCATTGACATCTCTCGCCAGACCCCTGTATGCTTGACTCTTTCAAATTGGTGTTTTATAGCCCATCCTCACATCAGACATCTCATTCCTGTAACTCCTCACCCTAGATGGTTGTTATACCAAGCTTTTTTTCCTTTGATCATCTATCTTCAATTCCCTCCTTCATCCCATCATTCATTCCATCATTCATCCCATCACTTGTTTCAGTGAAACCTTTGGTATGTCATGATCGGTTTAAGGAATCTGACCCACATGCAGAGAAACCACTCAGAGAACACGGGGAAAGTTTAACAGGTTTATTTGATGTAATGAGTACAGGAGTAGGATCTGGTGAACCGGAACTGGAAAGTCTGAAGGGGAGACCACAGTGATCAGTTCAGGTACAGTGGGAAACTTGACTGAGACCTGAATAAAGCTGGACCGGGACTCACGTTTGAGGGGGTTCTTGTCAATCCTTGAATCCAGTCTCTGTGGGATTTTCCAGAGAAGAGGGAACTCGTTGGAGAGTGGACGGGTAGACATACGGACAGGTAGACACCTAGAGGAGCAATGGAGCGGAATGTCAGTTGGATTTCAGACGGTGTCTAGAACGGATCATGTGGAGGTTTTCCCCTGCTCAGTGTATTCTCAGTAATTCCTTCAAGGGAGAGAAGGTCCAGATATCCAGTTTTCACAGGAAGGCTTTCTGCCAAAGCGCAAAGACAAAAACATATAAGACTCAGAGAAACAGCTAGGTTAGACTCTGCTAATCTCAGCTTGGCTAGAGTACCCTGGCAAACACTCTGGCATCGAGGTATTGACAGCCCATTGCTCAAATACTCCTCCAGTAATGAACCAGTGAGCCGCAGGTGTGCAGGGATGCCCAACGAGGACAGGGCACCACCTCGTGGTGGAGAGAGAAGAAACACACAAACAACCCACACAAACTAGATTCCTAACATGGTAACCCTTGGTGGCTATGGCTCTCTTCTGGTAAGCCTTCACAGCAACAATCTTCGTTTGGTAAGCCTTTGTGGCGCTGCCCTTTCAGTAAGCCTTTGTGGCACATCTCCTCTATTAATCGTTCTGCTGTTTTACATTCTTAGCTTTCAACTCAGGTCTCTGCCTTCTGAGCATGCTGATGTACTGGCCTAAGCATGGGCAATTTTGGGGGGTGAAACATCTCTGTTTTTATACTCCATATGCATATTAAAGCAAAATTCAGCACTAAAGTCTCTCTGGACGTCTCTCTGGTAAGGTGTTCCGGGCACGTCCCGCCTGAAGGAGATGCAGGGGGAGACCCAGGACACGCTGGAGGGACTATGTTTCTCGGCTGGCCTGGGAACACCTTGGGGTGCTGGCCCAAGTGGCTGGGGAGAGGGACGTGTGGGCCTCCCTACTGAAGCAGCTACCCCCTCGACCCGACCCTGGACAAGCAGAAGAGGATGGATGGATGGATGGATGGATGGATGGATGG